CAGCACTTCTAGTATAGTGTCTTAGCTTCAAGCTAAGGTTGCTGGTTCAAATCCTGCCCAAGTCAGTTTTTTCTGCTAACTGTCTGCAAAATGCATTGTTAATTTTAACAAAAAATGCAATTTAAGGCAGTGGGGAGAAAATACACTGAGTACGCTGAATACCGTACTCGTATCGTCCCAAATTCTGAGACGATACGGGCGTATTTTAAATTGTGTACTCGCCAGCCGAGTACAATGTACTTGTATCGTACTTGTTGACTAGGGTGATACAACGTACTCGAGTACACACGTACTCAAAACAAAGTACAGTAAAATGTAATGCGAGTACAATACGTGTATTGTAATGGTTGCACCGTTGGTTGTACCGTCGACAAGGAGGGAATCCTCCTGGCCGGCAAGGTGAGGACAAAAAAATATTGTTCTTATTTTTTTTTTTAAAAAAAAAAAAGATGAGCCTTGACCTTGTCGACCAGGAGGATGCCCTCCTGGCCGGCGAGGCTGTAAAACTGAAAGGCCGGGAGGAACCCCTCCCGGCTGTGAGACTGTACAGTCTTCGGGATGGGAGGAACCCCTCCCAGCCCGAGACTTTTTTTTTTTTTTTTTTTTGCAATCCTCCCTCCCATAGGACCCATGCCTGGGTCCTATGGGAAGGAGATTGGCGTGCAGGCCTGGCGTGTGGGCCTGCACGCCAATCTGCTGCTGGTGTGCAGATTGGCGTGCGCGAGGGGGGTTGGCTTGCGCTTATCAACCCCCGAGTAAGGTAACAAGAAAATATAAGAGTATGGACTCTTAAGGAAAGGTGTGGCTTGAAAGATTTCTTGAGGATGGTATGTCTAATGTTTCTTATGTTTACTAGTCTAAATATACTTGTTCACAAATCAAGGTATCCCAAATGTTGATGGGCATATACCTGGCTAATAGTGGGTGATCAGTTATCTGAATTGCTGGGGCAGGCTCTGATGTGGAACAAATGAAGAGGAAAAACAAAGCTCCTTATATACAAGATTGTGGGGAGTGGCCAATTTGTGGTTGGAAGATGGATGGAACAAAATGGAACAAAGAATGAACAAGGAAGGAAATTGTAACTATGAACAATGTGGCCTAGTTTAGTGTGGCACTAAGATAAGATAAGACTAGACTGAAACCAAAGAAAGGGCCAAGCTAAGATAAGGTGATGAATTCATTCTGAAACAGAGAGAGGATTGGATAATCTTATCAAGGGGAAGAGATGGGGGTAATTATTCCACCCAGATGGGCATTGAACAGATAATTGGAAGAAAGGGCCAAAAGAGGACTATTATGAAACATAGCTGTTTTGTGGGAATTCTTGGCCTAAGGTGGAAGGAGATAAGAGATCAGGAATATTTTTAGATGGGTTTTAGGTTATATTGAGAAGGGGTAGTAGTGTGTAGTTGGTGGGTGGGCTAAGTCTTATCAAAAGTGAACTAGGAATTTGGTCTTGGGTTTCATTTGAGGAGTTTCAGAGGTGTGGAAGATGTCTTTACCCATGAGGGGGGCAATTGTGTGGATTACTGGGTTGTTGGATTTGTTTGAGGGCCTGGGGAATTCCTGAGGGGTCTTGGGTCTGTGATTCCTGTGTGATTTGTAGTCTTATTGTGCTCTGAGATTCAGGATTGGCTTACCACACCGTTTCAGGTGAAGCGAATGAATATATGTTTTTCTCAGAATGCCAAACATTTAGTTTTGTTTTTTAGGACTCCAAGCTCAATTGATCTGTTAATGAAATCTTTCATATCTGTTGTTGATTTCACTTCTTTGACAAAAAGGTTATTTTCAACCCAACAGAAGTCTTTGATTAAATCAAATTTGCTTTCCATTATTTGTAGGCGTCTGCTGGCTGTCCAAAAGATCCACATCCAGAGACTCCCCCATAAATAATCTGTTTATCAAGGTAAAATTTCTCAGCTAAACCTTTAATCAGTCCAATTCTTCCATTACAAATGGAGGAAAAAACATTCACATCCTCCATTTGGAATGGAGAAATGGGTGGAGCTGGATTTTCCCAGCTCCACCCAGCTCAATTTGACTTGAATGTGGTATGGCTGAGCTGAATGTGAGCTGGATTGGAGCTGGGTGAGCTGGATGAGCTGGATATGTGAGCTGGATGAGCTGTATTAGAGCTGGGTGAGCTGGATAAACTGTAACCCCCATCCCTAATCCTTAACCCCTAACCCTAAACCTACCCCCTAACCCCCAACCCTAAAACTAACCCCTAACGCTAAAACTAACCCCTAACCCTAAACCTAAAACTAACCCCTAACCCTAAAATCAACCCCTAACCCTAAACCTAACCTCAAAAACCTAAACCTAACCCCAAAACCAAAACCTAACCCCCTAAAACCTACCCCCCTCACTCCCTAAACCCTAGCCAGGGTAGGAATTGAACCCACAATAGGTTGTGGGGGTGCATTTATATCAACAGACTATAATGGCTGGGCTGCCGGGATTCATACAAACACTAAACCTGTTAATGAACAAGATTAAGGCATGTATTTCTTAAATAAGTATCATGATCTTTTAAGGAAATACATGAGAAATAAAAGAGAGCAGAATGGTGTCTAACCTTAAGGCAAAAAACAAGGTAGCAATGAAGAAGTCAAACAATGAAAGACGACAAAAGACAAAAAGAAAATGTCTTTTAAAGATAATAAATACCATGAGAAACTGGTTAATTGACTTGATCATTTAACACAAGGAAGAGAGAACAAACAAGTGCAATAACATACAAGGATGAGATTGACCAGACAACTGGATAAGGATTGGCACCTTTTTTCAAGATAGAAGGGAAGCACAGGTCAAGTTTTCAAGGTGTCAATATAGAAGTTGATGTGCTGAAGTGAGGTGAAGATGGTTCTTGTGTCAGCGCCGGTCTCTAAAGTGACCAGGCGATGATGGAGTTGAAGGGTCATACTATAGTCTAAAAGGCCAGTCAAAAAGAACCTCCCCTCAACGCTGGAAAGTGGAGGGGTTAGATCCCTGAGTTAGAGGGGACACGGTGGTATGAGCTTTGCGGCGCTGAGCTCAGAGTGGTGCTACAGTAGTGACTTTACTGTAGTCTAGGGATGGGATGAGGTGGAAGGAAGAAGAGGGAAAGATAAGGGTGTGTAATATATTATATAAAACCCCACTCACTAAATGATGTAAGGTGTACGGGTTTGTATGGCAATAATCTGTGGGGGGAAGGAATCCTGGGAGGAAACACTTCCCCTTAAGTATTGCAAAGTCAGGGATAAATCTGTTTGTGAGACCGGTGAGGCCTACAGATGATCATTTATGTATTTAAATCATAAATGATCAGAACATTTATTTAAAGTGTGATCACACCAAAATTGGAGGAAATGACATCATTTCTCTCTTTTGGTAAACTAACATAGAGAGAGATGGCTCAATTAATCCAAAATGGCAATCATCTCTCTCATTACAGTACATACTTAGAGAGAGATGAATAAACTTTAAACTTTGCAAGCATTTTCTGGTGTGGATTCATAAATTATGGAGCTATTTACTAACACTTCAAACATAATTGGCTAGGTTGAGACAACAGTGGGCCGCTACGCTACACTACGCTATTTGACCACTAACTGTTAGTGTAGTGGCCTTTTTATTTCCTGGAAATTCTGTAGTGTTAGCTGACGCTAAACCCCACTACGCTAACTGTTAGTGTAGTGTAAATTTTTCTCTCAAATTTTTTGGTAGTGTTAGCTTCAAATAATCTCAGCTAAACTAACAGTTAGTGTAACTTTTTTTGCACTAACAAAATTTTGACTGTCAGATAGTGTAACTGATTTAAAGCTAACATTTAGTGTAACTTTTACCAAATTAAGCTACGCTACACTACACTACATGCCTAGTTACGCTACGCTACGGTAGAAGTTACACTACACATGTAGTGTAGTGTAAATCATCAATTAGAGAAATTGACATTTCAAGTGAGAATTTATGCTCTTGAAGTTGAACCCTCTTCCTCTGCTTTCTGTTTTCAATGGACAAGTTGTGTGAACTGTCCCTATAACTGATACGGCTGAGGTCCATAGTGATTATTTTCAATGTCCTATGATCACACACAATCCCGCAGAAAATGAACAGCATAAGATGTAGAGACAAACAAACGGAGGATGTTCTTGGTGAGATTTGCTACAGACCCTTGTGGTTTTAAGGTTAGTTGGGTGGTAGTTGCCATGGTTCATGCCAACAGCTCCACCACACTCTGGTGATACATCATGGTTACACCTCTACCCCCTCCCCCCCCTCCCCCCTTGCTACATGATGTGAAAGTGGAAATTGAACAAGTGTGGGAATGGAACCCAGTAAAGTATGATCTGAGGGGGAATTGAACCCATAATCTCAAGGTAGTCTGACAGGGGAATGTGGTCTTACAAGTAAGTGTTAAAAATTGGCAGGGGGCTAAAATTGAGTGGCCACCATTACTAACCGAAAAAATCATGATCAATTAAGGGGATCTGGATGTAGGCCCCCCAATCAGGCACTGTCTTCAGGGTAGACTAATGCTAGTCATGTGGTCATGTAACTTTTAATCAGTTACGCTAACAGTTAGTGTAACTTTTTCACCAGTTACACTAACAGTTAGTGTAACTGAGGGTACCACTACGCTAACTGTTAGTGTAACTTTGAAAAACGTTACACTAACATGTAGTGTAGTGGGATCACCCACTTACACCGCTAAAATTTCACTAACAGGATTTTGGGTAGTGTTAGTTGTGCCTTTTTAAAGGTAGCTAACACTACGCTAAAGTTTTTTTTTGTTTTTTCAAAAATCCTGTAGTGTTAGTGGGCCAAAAATCCCCACTAACGGTAACTTTTGTGTAGCGTAGCTTAAAAAGCTAACACTACGCTGCACTAACACTACGGTTAGTGTAACTGGCCCACTGTTGGTTGAGAATATCCTGGTTAAACTGGGATTCACTCAACCAAGTTAAACTTGGCTGCATCTCAACCAATGAAATAAGAATACAAGGTTAGGAGTTCAACCAAGTTTAACATCTTTAATTTCATCCCAGTTAAATTGGGATACCCTCAAGGCAGCTAATGATTTAGGAAGTGTAAGCCCAAAAAAACTTGAACTTAAACACATGATAGTTTTTGGTTTAGACCATTGTTTTGTTCCCTGTTATTAGAGGGAAACTTTCTCCTGATTTTTTGTGAAAACGGCTGCCATCGCAGATAGGTGGAAAAGAAAAAAGACTAGATGTTTAATCTGAATAGAAACTGTATGGGATTATTTTTCATCATTTCCAGAAAGATAATCCAAAAATAAATTTTGGATAAATCAAATAAACTGCTTGTCAGGTCATTGTAGGTGGTTTGATATTCAGATTTATCAAGAGCTCATTTCAATATCTATCACTGAAAATTGCCTGCATAGATGTTCTGCAAGAATGGAGGAAAGATGAAACTCAATGACAGAGAAATAGAAAAGCAATTTTTTAATCTAGTGAGCATATTGGCTTGATAAAAAAAATCAGAAACCAATATGAAACATCATGTGATAAAAAAAATACAGAAATTCAATTGGAAGCAGGATCCAACATAATTCTGAGTTGGTTAAAATTTATATGTGAATGATCTCATACTATCCAAATATAAATGAGGGTGGACCAGTATATTTCCAATGGCTATGACTATGAAGATGTTTATTGAATGGTTAAAATGAAATGACAGGAGATAAAAATTGAGTCATCTTGGAGCTCAAAAACACACAGTTTTTATCAGTTTTCCACAGAAAAATATTAAGAAATAATACCCAAATAGATGAAGGAACTGATGAACAGGAATAAATAGAAATTTTTTGGGTGTACCTCTCAGCACTCTTGTGAGGTTGGAAATTCCGCCTATCAAGGTTCCTGATCAGGATCTTCAGATTTACTGCCACTTCCATGTAAGTCCTCATCTTCTTTGGATCCTGCATCTGGTGATTTGTGAGTAGGTTCTTCACTCTTTGGGGTCTGTTGAGTCAAAGGCTCATCCATTTTATTTTTTGCTTGATTTGAATTCTTATTTTCTGACATCTTGAGTACATGGCTTATAATTTGCTCCTCAATATCAGATTCCCCATCATGAGAGGTTCCAGATACATTTCCATCCTCAAGTGACATATGTAAAGCTCGGCTGAGTGAAATTTGAAGTTCACGATCCAAATACTCATTTCTTGAAATCTCAAGCACATGAGCCAAATCCTGGTTTTCCATTTCAAGGGTTTTATTATGTTCCTTTGTTGATTCTTGGAATTGCTCAAGTTCAGAATCTGATAGTGCATCTTCAGATATTTTTTTGGAATGATCCAAGAGTGATGCAACCAGAGCTTCCTCAAGCAAATGATCTTCTTGTTGTTCCTTTTTCTCATACTCCTCCTTTGAAATTTTCAGTGCATGGTTCAATTCATCCTCTCCATTTTCTCCATGGCAGCCTTGCAAATTATCAGATTGATGATTTGTAGCCCCTGGTAATTCATTAGAATCTCCTTCTGAATTACCTTCCTGCATCAAAGTAGAAGTTGTATCAGTGACTTAATTGTGACTAAACCCAGAGGTATTACTCACTTTTGGTACTAATGAATCTGCAACTGGCCTTGATTGCAAAGAAGGTTCCACATGCCCTTCAATGGTGATTGACACCCTGCTTGCGCTATCTGGAGTATCTACAAGGTTAGACACTGGTCCACCATATGCAGAAAATTGATAAAACTTTTGAAAAAACTAGCAAAGGAAATATCCCATTAGTTTTGATCTTCAACAGAGAATGAGAATAGCCTTCCAAAAAATGGGCTAACCAGAAGAAGTCCCACAGATAAAAACAATGACACCATTTCTACAAGAGAAATATATGAGTCTGTCTGTATTTATATAACAGGTGGCTGGTTTAAGGATTTTTTTCAGATTATATGTGTTAAGAGAAAGCTATTTCTAGGAATAGATCAATACAGAAATCTCACACTTTCTGAACTGACTGTGTGATATAATATAGCTTGAAGGTAATATGTGTTTGAAAAGGATGCTCTTCAGCTAAATGATGAAGGGGAAATGTAAAGAATGAGTTATCAAGCAAATATCTAAAAATTGAGAACAAAATACCAGACTTGAGATGTCTATATAACACAGACTGGTTGATAGTATCAAGCGAGATGAAAAGAGGTGACAGTAATAGCAGACTGGTTATTTTATATTAATGATAAATAATCCACCAAGAATAATAAATTCCAACTACCAACCAAGATTATATCTGATGAATAGATGATTTGGTGATTAAAGACATCCATGGGCCAGATAAAAGCCTCTTTTATAGACAACAAGATGGAAGATTAGTTACAATACTCCAAGATAAAACACAAGAGATAAGCATGTTTCATTTTGAAACAGGTTGACCAAGTCCTACTGTGGGTTCATCATTTTTAAATTTTGAAGGTCCAAGGGGGCACAGGCATATGAGACCAATACTAATACCAAAACAGTTTTATTAATATTAGTGTGAAACAAAAGATAAGACAAGAAAAATACAAGGGATAATTCAAATGAAGTACAAATTTGATTGGTTGACTTGATTTGTAGAAAAGACAGTGAAGCATCATAGATTTACCTGAAGCATATTGATCTGAGAGAGTTAATAAAATACCCTGACGTTATTGCATGTCTCACTTGAGTAATGAATCCTGTTTTTTGTATAGTCACAAAGGCCAGGGTTTTGTGTTTCTGGGCCACATATAAGGTATTTTTATATGATTTGGTGTGCCAAGTAGGTTATTTTGTGAGTGAACACACAATGTGACAAACCAAATTATACAATCAATAATAAACACCCCTCTGGGAAGATTACAGAATGTGCCACACTTTCTGTTTAAGATTGATACAGGATTGAATTGGCAGGCAGAAATATAGCTAAATCATATATTACTAAATGTGTTTCCTGTCTGCATGAAGATAGTAATTGCATTGAATAATCATATCCATGAGAGAGCAGGTGCCTCAGAGTGTATCTCACAAATCTCAATGGACAGCGCAGAGCTGCATGGCTTTCCCGTCCAGATTTTCTCTGCCAGAGGTTTATATAATCTTGCTTGAACATTTTTTCATATCATAGATCATGTACAAACTGATTTCCACTGCTTTCTTGATGAAATGTTTCATATCCTGTGAAAATTTTGAGTGAGTCTTGAACATATTCACTGCTAGAAAACCCAAAAAGGTTTCATTCATCCTAGATAATCCCACTTTGGATAGGTTGAATTTGATCTAGCAAAGTGTGATTGAATGAATTGAACTAAACCTAGATAAGGGGGGATTCAATCAGTTGAACTCAAAATATTTGAAGAGGAATTAGGTAGTTTAAGCCAAAACTATCAAAATTTGCATCATCCATGTTCAATTCTGCCAATTTAGGTATGCTAGTATTGTGATTTTCTTCTGGGTGAGGAAAAAAATACCAGGGGACCTGTCCATACATCTTACATTGTTCTGCAATCTTTTGAATTCATATGATGATAGCAGTGTGTCAGACCACACACCCCTTTTTAGAGTATTTTTGGTGCAAACAGGGGGGAGGCTTTTACCAACTCCCACTTAATTGTTCATTCATCCAAAATTGATATCAGGATGTGCCAGTCAAGCTTTGGAGGTATTAAAAAGTATTGAGATATTTTAAAGTGTCTTGATTTTTCATAACTGTATTGTGAAATCTCCAATAATTATGAACAACTTGTGCCTTGTGACGTTTGGACACCAAATTATACTGTATATTTTCTATAAACCTTGAAGTTCAGCTCTAAATCACATGATAGACATATATTGACATAAATATGTATACAACACAAAATTGTGCTAAATCTGAAAGTTTATGAGATATAACAAGTCCATTGAAATGGGGCCTTAGCGGTTTTACAAACTCTAATGTTACACTGGGTCATTTTGATTATGACCATAAAATTGAGTGTGCATAAATGGAATGAGCAGCCATCACTTTGCAGGGAGAAAAAAATGTTTTAGTGGTTTCAAAGTAATGAGTTTGTAAGAAAGTAATAAATTATTTGAAACAAGTTAATTATGTTGGCCCATTTCAGGATCAAAATAAGGCTATTCTCATTTCAGGTATGCAGCTTTAAAGTGGGCCAGTGAACTAATTGACTCTTCTAAAAGTATGGAATCTTTTTCATAGCCTTATAAAATTCTATCTATGCTTCAGAAGAAATCAGTTGGTTCACTCCAAATTTACACTGGGTCACCCCAAACAGCGGTGGGCCACTACGCTACGCTACGCTTTTGGCCCAAAAAGCGTAGCGTAGCGGCGCTTTTTTTTCATCAAAAAACCGTAGTGTTAGCGGTTTTTAGCGGTTTTTCGCTACGCTACGCTGCGCTACAGCGCTTTTAGCGGAAAAAGCGGCAAAAAACTGCTAAAAACCGCTGTAGCGCAGCGTAGTGGGCCCTTTTTTGTGGCCCACACGCGTAGCGTTAGCGGTGTCGTGGCAGAATTCCGCTACGCTACACTAATCGCTAACAGAAATTCCGCTGCGTTACGCTACACTAACCGCTACGGTTAGTGTAGCGGCCCACCGTTGCCCCAAAATTGCACACCTAAAAATAGAAGGATCCAGTGTAAAATGGGGTAAATCAAAATAAATTAATTGTTTCAAAGAATGAATAAATCTTTTGTAGTGATAGATAGCACTAATATACCATTTAAAAAAAATTTCATGTTGTTTTACTGAAAAATTACAGTACTATGGGGTCATATATAAAGAACCCACTCTAGAAAAAAATTAATTTTCCAAAATTAAAAATTTTCATCAATGGGTCCTCAAAGGGGGTAGGTGAAGAACCCTCATGTTCAGAAAATTGTGGAGTTTTGGAAACCCATCAATTGAATAATGGCGGATTTGGTTATATTTGATGCCCCCCTGCAGGTTCATTCTCATGTGAGATATGCAACCTTTCAAGTGAGCCCATCTAATTCAATTGATTCAAATTATGAATTCCTGTCCCATAGAATTGAATCACACTATGAAACCAATCACTTTTTTGGCATGGTTCTATTTTTTTCGGAGTGAATTTGAAATCCATTGCAAAGACCTCTTCCCGATATTTCAGATTATAAATTGCTCTTTTAAACTTTCCAATGTTATTAAACCCACTCATATGGTAACAAAACAGGTTAGATTTGGTGTGTAATTCAAAAAAATTGATTAGGTATCTTGAAAGGTTTCATCAACTTACAGGAAATTTGGAAGAATTTCTGACTCGTAAATATTAATTGAGTGGTCTCAAAAGTTTTTTGATAAAACCAGTACCTCCAAGAGTTCTATGTTATCAAACCCTCCTGGTTTTGGGTGTTTTTGCTTCACACCCCTCTGTTTCCTGCAATTTGAAACAAAAGGGTGGAGGGTTCCTGCAACGGTGCAACAGAGACAATACGAGATGGTATCAGGCGTTTATTCGTATTGTCTCAGAATTTGAATACCCAAAAATACCGGATTTGTGTTGTCTCACTTTCCAGAGACAATACACATGTATCGTATTTGAAAAGTGAGACAAGTATTCTGTATGGTCTCAGATGACTCAGGTATCAGGCTAAAAATAAAGACAATACAATCCAATACAAATACATGTCTCAGATCTGTTGCACTGTTGGTTCCTGTACCTTGATGGCAATGTGATATTCCTCTCCACCATCAAGGTACAGTGTTCATGGCAGGGAGGGATTCCCTCCTCTCATCCAGGTACATTTTTGTTGTATATGTAGATGGTACTTGGCACCTGTTGGCGGGTACCTGTCACCCTTTCAGCAGCCACCAGAAATTCAGGTGGAGGGTCCATTACTGATCCTTTGTCATCACTGCACCATCTGCTTGGGTTATTGGTGGCTGGTGCTGCAGGGGCATGTCCTGAAAGTGTGGCAGGTACCCCCCAAAAGGTGCCAAGTGTGATCTCTATTTTGCTGTCAGGGAGGGATTTCTCCCTGTCATCAAGACTGTGACTGCATGTCCCAATGGTGGAGAGGAGCCCTCTTCACCATTGAGGTACATTTTTGATGGAGGGGAGGGACTCCTGCCTGTTGTTGAGGCTAGGGAGGAAGCCCTCCCTACCATTGAGACAGAACAATCTCAATGTCCATAAGAAATTACTCCCCACCATTGATAGTGTACCTTGATGGTACAGAGGGATTCTTCTCCTCCATCAAGAATGTATAGTCTCCATGGACATCTGTTAGCTTATTCAAGCAAGCCACTCCTGATTTTCCTTCTTACATCAGTTTCCTAGCCCTTTGGCATGCAGACCAACCCACCCAAGCCAAAGGTAGGGTTGTATTGTGCCCCCCTGTGGGGCTTGATAACCGCACTCCCACATTTCCCTGAATAATAGATTGTATGGACACATGCCAAAGCACTGCAGGGGACACTCCCCTACAGAGTGGAGTGTGTCTGCACACACCAATCTTCAGAGTAGTGCAGGCCCACACTCCAATTTTCCCTGGCTGAACACATATGCATACATGTATAAATATTTGTTTAGCCACCAGGCTATCCTATAGGACCCAGGCCTGTTTAAGGGTTGAATATCTTCACTGAATTCTTGTGGAATGAACCTTCAAGACTTGGTGGTCTGAGGGATACTTTCTAGAACTAAGTTAATACTTTTACTTCTAGCTCAGCAAATAGTGAATTAATAGCAAGCTAGGAGGGGAGGCAGGGAGGCAAGTGTTGAAGTAGCTGACAGATTGGGTTATATGTGGTTTTTATGTGAAACCTGTGGGATGGGCTTTCACAGTCTGCATCCTATGGGAAAGCCCAGGGCCTTGAGGTCTTTGACAAAAAAATGTCTAGTCCAGGGGGGGGTGGTTCCTCCCAGCCCCATGACTACATAGTCTCAAGGCCGTTGTGGTAAGCCACTCCTGAAAATTCAAAGTTATCAAGAGTACAAATCACACAAGAATCACAGGATCAAGACCCCTCAGGAATTTCCCAGGCACTCAAACCAATCCAGACACCAGTCATGAATCCCCTCAAACACAGACCACATGGATAATAATATTTCCCAGCCAGAAACTCCCCACTCCTGAAACTTACTCCCCTCCAAAAAATTCCATTCTTCCTCCCCCTTGTTAACAATCCCCCTGATCCATGAAACAGTTATTTCCTCCTATCTCCTTCCATGGAATATTCCCCCCTCATTTGTTTCATACTAGTACCCTTGGGAGCATTTTCCCACTGCTTGTTTCCCCTGTTTTCTCTGGATAAATATTTTCCCTTGTTTCATGCTC